GCCTGGTAGGAGCAACCCTCGAGTTACTGCGTGGGGGGATGAGGAAATTAAGAAACATGTAAGCATGTTGAATAAGTCCAAACGACTATGGTGTCAAGAAGTTACTTGCAAATTGTTTGACAACACCATAAATAGACCCCCACCAGATGATACAGTAAGCTTTAGTAAAAGATCCACCCATGAAGTGAAGCAAACTATTTTGACATCAGATGAAAAACCACCGGTACGTATATACCAAGATACTGATATCACATTGATGTATAATTGTTTTTGTCACATTATGAATTGTGTAAATGTGCAGGAATGGGAGGGCAGAATGTGTAGGATGGAGAATGCGATTGTTAATCTAACTGGCATGGTGGGCTCAATGGTTAGCATGATCCAAATGTTCATGGGTGGATCGTTCCCTAAACCATCAAATTACCAAGAGATGGACAATGATGCTATTGTTGGAGTAGTTGATGAGGAAAAAAAATAAAATTGACTTGAATGAAAATATAAATGCCAACTTCTGTGATTAGGGATGACAGTGGACCGGAAAAAAACGAGTATTCATCCAAATTCACCCCGTTTGGATCGGGAATGGACTATATGTATTAGACGGTAGACGTATACGAGAATACCCGTATTAACCTGTACATAAATAAAATATATAAATAAAAATACTCCCAAGCCCTAAATAAACATATTCACTGTAACTACCAATCCAGAAATATGATAATCAAACTAACAAGTTACATTGCTATGTGGTAATCGCATCAACTTTTTTCCCTGATTGTTCTTTTTTATATTTGTGCGTACTGGTTGAAACTGTTAGGAGTTTGGATTGACTATGCTCTAAAAACATATAAGAGAGAGTAAGATAGTTTTGCATTTCATTGTGGATAGAAATATTGTGAATGGATGTTCATGAGTTTCTCTGCTAGAGTGAACTAAGAAATTGAGAGAATTATTGAATTAACAAAATTTTATGTTTTGATCTTGTAACACTTTATGGCTGTAATATGAAATGTAATAACAAAAATTCTTCTAGGAAACTTCAAGTGTTGTGCTATCATTTTCTTAGTTCAATTTTATTTTTCTTTTTTTCCTTTCTCTCTAATAGTTCCGTTTCTCTTTTTGTGGTCCAATGACACTTTAAATAGAATACTATATTATTTTTGCTTTTACATTTTGCAATCTACATTATGTTGTGTTATATTATGTTATATTATTCAGAATATTGTTGGATTATTTAAAATATTAGATTTATTTAAAATATTAGATTTATTTAGAATTTTGGATTATACTACTTGGGCTTGGGCTTAGGCGGGTACGGGGAAAGCGGGGACGAGGACGGAGATTAGAAATTTACTCGCAGACGGGGATGAAAACTATACCCATTAACGGGGGTGGACCGGGGACAGACGGAGTCTTTTTAAGTAGGTACAAGGATGAAGACTACACTTCCCGCCCCCACTTCAATCCACTGACATCCCTACCCGTGATGAAGTGGATGTGAACTACCGAATTTGGACACCCATTGCCATTGTCTGCACCCCACCACCAAAACCATTCCAAGAGGCATGGTGACGACCATTGAATACTAGCAATGAAGAATACAAACATAATAATGTTGGTGACATGCAAGAGGTTTCTTACTCATGCAGTCAAACGTCGTTCCCACCAATACAGCTAAGAAGAGATTCTAAAAGGAGGCCAAACAAATATGCGATTTCACCATATGAGCACCAAAAGGTATAACATACATCAAACTTAATGTATTAATTACATTATATATTATCGTCACTTATACTTTACTCCCTTCAACTACAACATCGTTGGGTGAAGAAGGATGATAAGAAAGAGGGCAAGGGGGAGGTGAATAATCCCCCGGATCACATTCAACCAAGCTTGAACAATTCCATGCATATAGTGGTAATCCATAAGGTTATGACATCATTTATTATTATCCAATTTTTTTTAAATGTGTATGTTCAATTTCTCTATGCATAGGGTGGTTATGACATGAATTGTTATGACAGCAAGGCATCGATCGATGTGTACAAGACTTCGCACAATCCTGCTAACAAACTGAAATTGTCTTGTAATAGTGCATCAGTTGCCAAAATTCTTAAGGTTTGATTTTTTTCATTGTTGATTATGTGACAAACTTGAATGGTAGTTTAATGTCACAGATTTGGTACACAGATTTCATATTCTACTTTGGGTATTCCAGAGCACGTTGAGGAATATGAAAATGTAGATATACTTTATCCTGTAGATAAGTAATTGATTTTGAATTACATATTTGACAAGAATCTTGACAAGAGGTATATTTATTTTAAATGTAAACATTGATACATTTTAAAATATGTATTAATATGTGATCGAAAATACTTGTATAATTAATTTTATTTTTTTTGTTGTGTAATATTTTTAATTTTTTTTTTTTAAAACAAAGAGGTTTTAATTAGGTTTGAACATGACCATGCTGGACACCATTCCCTCATGACATTATTACCAAAGTAGTGGTTACTTGATTCGGTTGGTTAATTTGGTCTTTTTCAACCAATTTTTTTTTTTTTGTTTTTTTTATCCATACGTCATTACAATAACTTAAACCAATTGAATTTTACTTTGGTATTTTCCTATGACTGTAACAGGTTGTGGATTTGGCGCACAATTTGTTATCTAAGGAAGATAAGATCAATCCAAAAATTGGATTAGAGAGGTGGTACCTACCTATGTGGTTCTCAGTAATAAAATTATGTTTATTTGTAGAACCTAATTTTAATTTTAAAAAAATTACAAACAACTTGTTGATTATACTTTTGTTTGTTGTATTTAGCAACAGGCACTGTCTCGGGCTGTGGGTAACAGTGAAATTAAAAAAACATCGTTGCATTCTATGTGTACTGTGAGTGGGAAGTACATAAAAGATTTTACATATTGTGAGAAGGTGTGTATTAACCATATAGTTAATACGTTTTGATTTCAACGACCTAACATTAGTTATTTTGATTCATGTTTATCAACAATGTTTGTCTGTGTGAACAAATTTAGATATACATCCCAATGAACGAGAAAAACTCCCATTGGTATCTATGCGTCATTGACGTAACTGAACAGAAAGCTCTTTTGTTGGACTCGCTTCCTTGTGACGATATATCTATTCAGTTGAATGTTGTGCATAATGTGCTATTTGAATTAGATGATGTGCTTGAAGCTACATAGGATAATTACCAACCTTTTTTGGGCACATTCACTTTGTCGGCCCCATCTTGGGCCCCACGTCAAGGGAATGGATATGATTGTGGAATGTTGTTGTCAAGATGATCCTGTTTCCAGGCTTTAGCATTGCAGTGAATTCTATAACATGCAACCTACGACATGTCGCGATTGTTTCATTTGATAGTTTGTTAATATCCCTTGTCAAAGCTCGTTAATTTAAAAGCTTGTTTTCATTTGATCGCAGGAAGATTCGAATGAAACGAGGATGAACTTTGCATTTTCATTAGCTACTCATGCTGACAATAAAGTTCGGAACAAAATACATAAGGCCCAAGAAAGACGGATAGAAACGGGAAAATATAGAAGTATGTTACAATGAATGTGAGAATGTAGACAGAATGTATATAGTGGAATAGAAAGATACATTGTGAATGGAATGTGAGTAGGTATGTGTTATGTATATAGTGGAATACAACGTTGCCTGAGAGGTGGAATGCGCTTTGTTAGGCGGGATATATAAATTGGAATACAATCAAATTACGTGAGAGCTAGAATGTGCTTTGTAAGGCAGAATATATTTATTGGAATACAATATTGATTGGTGAATGAAATGTGCTTATGTAGGCGGTATTTATATATTGGAATACAATGTGGACAGGTCAGTGGAATGTACACTGTTTCATGAACGCACATAGCAATGAGTTTAACCAAGCCATCACCACTCATGAGAAAGACAGGTTGTACATCATCACAAAAAAATTAAAAAATAAATAAATAAATAAATAACTATATATATATATATATATATACATATATATATTTTAAAAAGAATTAGCGTAGGCAAGATTATGGCTTTAATCCTTCAAGACAATATAATATGAGAAAAATCTTTTTTGAATCATTTTTACTTTTTCAGATCTGTGAACTCAAAATCTAATACATAGGGGGAAGAATCTTGAAGAAAGTTATAATGAAATGAATCTTGAAGCACTTTTAATTTTTTAGATCTGTGAAGTCAAAAGCAAGTACATAGCGGGTAAGAACCTTGAGGAGACTCCCACGGACAAAGTAGAAGAAGAAATCATAGTTGTTCTAGTCTATCTTTCTGTAATGAAAAAGTTTGCAGTGATTTTAATGTGAGTCAAATCATTTCGTTTGAATAGTTGAAACACGTCTCGTTGGTTGCGGAAAAACACGTGTTGTTAAATGTAAGTGACTTAAAGAGAGGTTGACACCGATTATACGCTGGCAAACTAGTGGGGACATGCATTCAGATGCACAATTAGCCTCATGCCAACATTCACACCAAACATCTCAGTCAACCCAAAAATAGATAAAGAGAAATGCATTGAGTTCCAGAATATCAACAGCCATGTGTGCCACATGAATTTTGTCATATTGATGTAGCTTAGCATTGTCATAATACACCATCTATATATGTGTCCAAACCACCTAAATGAATCCTCCCTTATTCTATCTCTTATAAAGCATTTAGGGTTTGGAAAGGAAAATCATATCCAAATATGAAGCAACTCCCACCCTTCCTCCTACTGGGAGGACTAGAAGGGTGTAACAAAGGAAAAAGAAATGACATTGTTTTTTTTAAAAATTTTTTTTTTGTTTTTTTTAAAAGAAATTAAATTTTTAAAAATTTTTTTTGTTTTTTTTAAAAGAAATAATTTTATTGAATAAACTCCAAAATTACAAGAATAAAAAAACCAGTAACTGTTACAACAGAAAACAGTTACAGCTTCACCAAAACAATCAAACTGTTACAATTAAAACAGTTAAAACAATTCCTGTACAGCTGCTGCAGTCCAGCTCATCAGCATACCAGCACCCTCCTTCTGTACACCATACCTTGATGCAACTTCTGATGCAGAAACAGACTGGCAATATTGGAATCCAGAAACCAGCACTCCAAAACCCCTCCACAGATTAGGTCCTACCTAACTCACCAGAGGACTTTAGACCAAAATAACCTCAACCCAAAAACACTTCCACTATCAAGACCTCTAACCAGCAGCTAAATCCACAAAAAAAAACCTGCTGACCATTTAACACAAACCTCCTCCTTCTTATAGTAAGCCTGAGTTTTATGTTGCTACAAAAGCATTCTTGCAGCCAATGGAAGAATACCATAAGATGGTAAAACACCCTCAAACAAACCAGACTTAACTGCCAAAGAAGCCAAAAAATCAGCTACACCATTAGCCTCCCTGTACACATGTCTACACTGAAACTGCAAATTACTAAGAAACTCCCCAATCTCATCCATAACTCCTTTAAACCTCCACAATACTTAAGCATGTCCTCACATCTTCATATATTCTCCTGCACATTTCTTTCCAAAGGGCCCAAAAAAATCAGCAAGAATACCCAAAAAAAAAAAAATCTAAACATTAAATGAATCATAAGTATAGGAGAAAGTGGAAACTGAAATGACGCCCAAAAACTACAGATCAATTGAGAAATAATTTACAAGAACCAACAAAGTAGGGAGAATATTGGTCACAAAACCTACCTACAACACTGTTCACAAAAAATGGCTTTCCCTGCAACTTGGCTAAGAAACCATTAACGCGTTATTTTGGAACATCACCATATCTTCCAGGTGTGACATTGCGACTTCCATAAGCTACCAGGACAATATCTCGCCCAATGCCCAAATTGATTGGAGTTGAAGAACTCACCAGATGCACCACCATTAGCACCTCCCCCCCAAGGACACCCTATTGCTGAAGCTACCTCCATATGACTGTCCATCACCATTCATAACACTCGGGCAATGCGTAGAGCTATCGCCAGGACCACCATAACTATGACAGCTTAAATACATGGCAGTAGAACTATTCATCTTCCTCTTCATATTTCAAGTAATACAAATCTTTCGCAGATATAACCATGATCTCCTCACCAGATTCCAGGAATGCAGTTACCCATTTCAAGCCAGTGTGATCCTGTATCTGGAACTGGAGATTATACCTATAATCACATTCATGAAAGGTCTGTTTACACATATCACATCGCCACTTAAAATCTCCATTATTTGTAACCTTCTTCTTCCACTTTCGATCTCCAATCATGATGGGACATGCATTGTATCAAAAATGAAATTGTTGCTGTGGGATTGAGCTGTCATCCTCAGATCAAGCCTCCACTGTTGATGTACTTTACATGGAAATTTCATGATAATTACGAAGGTGATTGAAAGCCTATATCTATGCAGGGTTCAGGGTCCCATTGGAGATCATATACACTTTACCAAACTCAATCTGGTGGTAGAATTGGTCGGACACAACATTAAAACAGCGTCCTTTAGTTTTGCCCTATACACAACCAAGCCAAAAAACATACATCAGCACCACTAAAACCTAGGGACATCAGGCATGATTGCAGCAAGTATAGCATGAGCTATTGAGCAAAAAAAACAATCACATGCTTTCATAACATGAAGCATGTAGCCGCTACACTGCAATCATAACTAATGTTCCTATGAGCACATTGTGAAACTCTTAAACATTTTTGCTGGTGCAACGACCAATCATCTGCAATTGATTTGTTTGTATGCAGCAGCTATATACATATCCACCGTAAGAACTTCTATTCAAGATTTGAGTTGTGCATAACTGTATATACATCTATCTAAGAATGTAACTATAAAGCTAAACCAAAACAATGAATGTAAACAGTTGCTCCACCACCATCTAATATAGGTGTCTTCCTCGAATCCAAATTTTACCAAAACGCTCGTCAAGGTGTGTGTAGTGTCATATGTATGATTCTATCTCTCAAATTGTTCTCCTCAGCCGTGACCAAGGTAATAGCCACCTCCCTTCGAATGTCAGCACTCTTATCCTGCATTTAACAAATGTGAACCATTACAATTAAAACTTTTTTATTGTAGTTTTATTAAAGAAATTCAAAAGTGTCAGCATGGACTGTTTATTGTTTTCCACCTTTGCTGTAAAACCTAGGCCCAAATATGCTGATTGCATCATCTTCACAACGAAAATTCCACAATTAAAACCATTGGCTTGTTTGGGCATCCAAGCTGGTTTAATGAGCTTCCACGTCCCCAATTTGTGTTCAAAATCGGGAGTCCTAGTGGCAAGAATGTCGTCCAATACATCAATCTACAAAACAAGGTTGCAATGTAATTGCTGAAAAAAAAAATTGTGAACAGGTATCCTTTGATAAATGAAAACAAAAAGTATCTTACAACTCTTTTCGCATTTGTGAGGCAAATATTGTTTCTTTTTGGACTTGGCAGTGGATCGAGTAGGAAGGTTTGTTTCTCCTCCATATCCACCAAAAGTAGATACCAATGTGATTTTCCATCGTTCATTGGCACATAAATCTACATACAAACAAATAATTATTCCTAAAACCAGGTGTAGGAATCTGATATGCAGCATGGATTAACTTAAAAATAATTAGAAAATGAATTTTTCAATATACACTACCTTTGTAGTTGTTGTAAAATCAGGGAGAGAGAGGCAACTAAACTTCTAAACTTCTATTGTTTTTGAGTTACCCTTGCACTCTGACTACGGTTGATGGTGCTTGACATGGCTTGTTGCTGCATAAATTCATGAACAGACTCCCATTACTTTGTTTGTCATTACATCTCCAAACTTTTTTTTCCCCTTTTAATGCAACTTACAATAGTACAAAATGAAAACATATACTTACAGAGAAGACGGTAGGTAAGTACCATCGTCCCATCCGTGGAGCGATGTATGCACACATATCAATGACCTAATTAATATTTGACACGATATTGTAGTTTCATTCTCATAACGTAACAACAATAAAATAAACAAATGTAACATTCACGAACAATTCCTCTATGCCATTTAAATATGGCAAGGGTCTGTAACACACCCCTCGTGCCTCGATCATGGTCACCAACTGATACCAGAATCTCCCTGTACATAAACAAAAAAATAATAATCTTATGCGATGTTGCATTGGAAAATGATAGAATTATCAATTTTTAAGCATATAATATTGCGTCAAATATATTAGAACAAAAGCACATACTCAGATGGCAAGTTTAGATCAAATAATTAAAGGTAGATTGCGCGCTCCACATCTTCATTGATATGGGTTATTCGGGGGAATACCACATCTGCCATCTACAACGCAATGTATCTTATAAGGGGTTCAAAGTGCCACTCACCTGAAAACGCATGTTGAATTTTTAATACAAAAATCAATAAATCATACTTCCTCTGCTTGGTGTCCCTCTGCTGCTTGTTGGTCATCCAAGTCAACCTACAATATAAAGTTTGCATTTGGTAGTTCACGTCAACAAGTCAGTAGTACGAGATATTGTAATACATTGAACAACACATTTAATGTTTCAGCAGTACAACGGATAATATACACACCTTCGTCAGATCAATTTCATCATCTCTGTTGTTTCCCCCCATGTCATGCGGGACATCCTTCGGAGTAGCCAATTTATTAACAAATTGGGACAGAAGATGTCCAATCTCTCCCAATCGTTTCTCCATCACAGAAAATGAAGTTGTGTATTGTGATGCAAAATTATCAAATTTTTTTTCAATGCGATCAGCAACAACCTCAAGTCTTCCAATTCTTACCCGCAAATCCTACCAACCAATTTACATAATAAATCACAGTATAGTCAATTAGTTGCAGAAAAATATTTTAAAAAAAATATTAAAATGTAACATAAATTGTGGTAAATGTATTCCCCATGATCTTATATTAGGCATCTTTGGGAACAATAAACATTATACATGGTAGATGTACATACGTCCGACACTACTTGCTGGGATGTGGTACCAAACGCATCATCAATTATCTCCTCCTTAACAAAAACATCCAACTACATACATAAAACGAATGGAATATAAGCGTCAAATACTATGTAAGACAATACCATACAACATTGCAAATGAAATAAAATAAAATTAATAAAATCTATACCTCATCCAGATTGAACCCTCCTAACTTCAAGATATCATTCATTCTTTTACTTACATCGCTTTCACCCCAATCTCCAATTTGTGGGGTCACACGAAAAACCAAAGGTATGATGGTTTGACCTCTCGGTGTAACTCATTCAAGATAGAAAACCTACTTACCAAATAAAAATGAAGACCATAAGACACTATTTACTCATTGTATACAACATACACATTACCAAAATTGCTCAAAGTTTAAGTAAATTACCATCAAAACTACAAGACAGCCACCCAATGATCCCCATTTGGCAGATTAAAAATTTTGAATTCCTTTGACGACTCCATCAAATACAAACTTGCACCAATTAGTATGTCGTAATATAAGGACGTCAACAATAGAGTGTAGTGCACCAACAGTTAGCGTAGTTTACATTGAAGGACGAAGCATACAAGCAATAATATATAAAACAGAAAGCCGTAAAAAATCGTCAGAGGCATCTGTGATTGACCTAATGCGCTCTGACAAATGTTTCAAAGATACCTCCGATTGTCCATTAAATAAAGACGTACAAAGATCATTAATGTTTTCCTTTGTATCCGTTGTCACCACATTTGTACCTGAAAAGTGCAAACCTAGTATGTAGGTGACATCTTGGGGGCTGAACTTCACCCATTTCCCATATAGGTTGAATGCACACCTCTGGGGATCAAATCGTCCTGCCAACCATGCACACAAATCATGCCTTATATATGTGCATTGTATGCTTAGCAATCCACCCAAGCTAATTTCGTTGATGGCTTGTTTTTGTGCGTCATTTAAATTTTCCATGAATTTTATTAGTCTTTTAGGTGAACATCTTGTCGCCACATAACCTTGTACACGTTAAGTAATGGAATAAGTAATAAGTAACGGTACATTTCAAATTTAACAAACTAATTATTTATATGCATAGTGGTCTACATAACTTAATGTAACAATGTATAACACACTTGTGCAGATGTCTGGGCTATACTATCCGCCCGTCTTCGTCTTTGTCTCTTCCCCGCCGTGGAAGCAGCAACCAATTGTTTTCTCTTTACCCTGTTGTAGTTTTGTTATTTAATAACAACTTTGAAAATATTACACATAAAATTATGTAACACCAATTAAATTTCTTTACATTGTGTTTGATTCAGAGTTAACTATAGTTGATTATCGACAAACTGCCTTGTAATATGAATCACCGGTACCTACAAAACACCATTTATTGGATTAGATTTGATTATAAATGGATTGTACACAGCAAGAAAAATATCACAGGACATCGCAAAAAGTGGTAAATGAGCCCTAAAGGATGGTGTACTAGTGAACATCTAGTCTATGCCTAAAAAAATGAACATCCATTCAATGCAATAATCATGAATTACGGGCAAAACAAGTGTAATTACTGTCTTTGTCAAATGCACTAATTGGGAAAACCCGAAAACAACTCATTTCAAATTTTGTACTAACAATGGACAAAGTAAATTTTGATCGATATCACTCAAGATTTTATATGGAATAAACAATAATCACCATCATAACTAGACGGGGTTTTATTTTGAAGAGGTTGAAAACATCATAACCAGACATAATTTCCTCTAAAGTTAGTACCATAAAAAAGTTTAAACCTTTATACAAGATACCAAAGGACCAAATAAGACTCACAACGTAAATAGAACTCACTAGTAAAACCAATTAATTTATAAATTGTCGCCACAACATAAATGAATTACATAACAAAAAAGAAATGAATTAATGACAAAGTAGGATTATCAATTACACTCTAGATTGCAGAAAATAAAAAGAACAAAAACAAAATATGTGCAGACATAAAAAAGGGTGCATGGGCAAGTGATCAAGTGAACATATATAGACTGTGGAATCATGTAGGTTTGACAAATATGCCACTACCACTACGGCATGCTAACAGTATCCAAATTTTTACACTAATTAAACCATTTATAGCAGCAAAATAAAGAGTGATGACTTCGCATAATTATTTGGAATTGAAAGATACACAACCTAATTATTCACACCTAAAGTAACATAGAGTGATGCAATTACCAAATCAATTCAAGTAGAAGAAATGCAATTACCAATCAAAATTTTTTGAATCAAATCTAAAATAACTACAAAGTTTGCACCAAAATCAAACATGAAGTACTTAAAAAATTCATTGAACCTAATCAAATCAAATTAAAATTACATCTAATCAAACTAAGTTCACCTAAAATAATTGTAAAATTCGCATCAAATTAAACATTTATCAAACTGACTTCACAAAATTCAAAAGTGTGTGGCTGTGTTAAGCGTCTGTGTGCGGCAACAAAAAATAGAGGGCTTGGGGTAAGGGTGTGTCTTGTATTCTGTGGGTATTGTTTGGGGGAGGGTTGTGCAGGGAGGTAAAAGAGAGGGGTGGTTCATCGAGAGAGTGTGTGTTGTGTTCTGTGGGTATTGTTTGGGGGGGGGGAGGGGTTGCTCAGACGAAGAAGAGGAGGGGGTGGTACTGCGACTGTATGTGTGTGTTGTGAGTTGTGGGTATTGTTTGTGAGTGAGTTACATAGACGGGGAAGATGGAGGGGGTTATGTGCGTGTGTGAGAGTTAAGGAGAGAATATGGACACTGATCTAGGAGGCATGTGGCGTTGGATATGACAGTGATCGACGATGAGAGAGAAGGTCGAATGTGAAGGCTGTGTGAGGTGGTGATGATGGGAGATTGCTGTTGGCGAAATGGGTCACAAACCCGTCGAACTGCTCTGCAGAGTGAGAGGGAAGAGGGAAGAGAGATAGAAGGAAAAAGATAAGGGGTTTTGAAAATGTCAGTTGTAAAATAGAGAGACAGAGAGAGAGAGGAAGTAGACTAAGAGAGAAAAAAGGGAGGTCAACGATGGGAGATTTGGGTGGGCAAATGGGCAATTTTTTTGTTTTTTTTTTATATTTGAATTTTGAATATGACATTATTTTGGGTGTTTTGTTTGTTCAAATAAACATAAATGGGGTTATAAATTGAGACAAGATAATTTTATTTTTTATCGATTTTAAAAAAATAAAAACAAAATTACTATATTCCAACTAGCATAACACGTAATTTAAATCATCCAAATCAAATAATAATTGGCATTAAAGTAATCAGAAAAAAAAAAACCAAATTGGAACCATTAATAAAAAAATAAAAAAATTAACTAATCGAATCCAAAGGTTATATTTATTAAAAAATTTGTTAACAGACTTACAAGGATCTACAACACATGTACGACGACCCGATTAAACGACAACAATCGAAAATAAATAATCGGGTTTTCATATGAGAAAATTTCTCATTCGTGTGTGTGGTAAACGGGTTAACCAGTCATACATGTGTACTAAGCACTAAATTTCAGGTTATTCCTGTCAACCCTTTTAATACTCGCCTACCCATTTTTTAAAATTAATATAATAATATATTCATAATTACTATTCATTTGTTATCCATATTTTTTTTTAATGCCAAAAAATAAAAAAAAAATTATATTCATTGTACTTAGTTACACCCATAGGAGTTACAACTATTATAAGTGTATTTGTTGGCTCAATTGTAGTTAAATGAAAAGCCATGCAACCTTGGTTGTAATATGGTATGTTAATTTATTACACACCATTACCAGCTACCAACCAAATACCACCCTGAAATTATTCACCCTCACCTAGTTGTAATTATCATTTAAACCTCAACTTTTTTGTATTTTGCCGTGAACCTATTCCAACAACACAACATACTCCAACAACACATGCTTGGAACCATACATTTCTACAGCTGCATGAGAGGAGAGGAAATTCCACAAGTATGTCATACATGATACCAAGTATTTTGAATGCCATTTATTTTTAATACATTAGAATAATGTTTGATTAAGTGTTCATTACACTAATTCAATTATTTTAATAAATATATGTCAATTTTGCATTTTTTTTTCTCATTCTTGTAACCCATAATTTTTAATTTTTGGAAAAGATTATTAATATTATTATTAAAAAAATTGTATTTTAGGTTTGATGCATAAAATGACTCAAACTACTGTTGAAAAAGGAAAGCATGTCATTATAGACTTGAATAAAGCACCTGAAGATAGTGATATCTTTGAATTTGGCACATTTAATGGTGAATATGGGCATCGTGAGGGTAAATCAGAAGCTATCGAATTTGAAAAAATTTTATAAGACTTATTGGCTGAAGAAGTCAGTCACATGAACTTTAACTCGGAAGCTGAAGCGGGTAATTTTTATGACACATACGCTAAGTTTGTATTTCAGTGTCAGGAAAGATGACTTCAAATATAACAAAAACCACGTCCTGGTGTCTAGGAAATGGGTATGTTCGCGACAAGGGTTTCGAGCTACAAAATACTTAGACCGGGATAACAGGGCACGAGAACCAAGGGGAATAACTCGAGTTGGTTGTTTGATAGTATTCCGCATTAAATATGACAAAAAGTCAGAAAAATGGGTAGTAAAGGAGTTCGTGAATGATCATAATCATCTGTTGGTTCCACCGAGTGGAGTGTCGTTCCTTCGGTCCCACTGCCATGTTAAATGCCCAAACATAGAGCAAGCAACAGCGCTTCGCAGTGTTAGAATACGTACTAGCCAAATATGAGATTTTATGTTGCATCAAGCTGGCGGCTATTCCAATGTTGGTTTTACGCGAAAGGATTTGTACAACGCTATTGCAAGCCAAAGAAGAGAGGAAATGATCGATGGGGATGTTGCATACTTGAGTGCGAAAGAGGAGTTCGATCGATTATTTTATTTCAGGTACAGCGTTGAAGATGATAATGCATTGAATTGCCTCTTTTGGGCGGATTCAACTTCCCGTGTTGACTATTCATGTTTCGGTGATGTTTTGGTATTCGATACAACATACCGCACCAATGCGTACAAAAAGTCATTTGTCATACTTGCAGGTGTAAACAACCACAACGCTACTTGCATTTTTGGATGTGCATTACTTTCTTATGAGACCGTGGACACATATGTGTGGGTGTTAGAGACATGCCTGGATGC